ACCTGGCCTTTGGTTCCTAGGGCTAGGCCTGGGAGGAATTTTCCAGCCTTTGTCTCCACTCCAGGAGCCTGTGCTCAGTCTCCTGGATCCCTGGACTTGGAAGAGGACTCTGGACTTCCTTGACCAGATCTCACCTGCTTCTTCTGTGCCTTCTAAATAACTAAGCTATACCAGATCTAAAAGGGATAGGGGAAGTTTCAGGAAGTAAAAGAAGCCCCTTTAGGGTCCCTCCAGCCCTACTCTCTCCAACCCAGAGAAGGCAGAGAAGGTGAGCAGAAGGGATGGACAAATCTAAGCTTCTCCCTTCTTCTCCTTTGGGCTCTAGAAAGTACTGGGATTGGGCCAGATCTGTGTGACAGGGGACACTGGCCTTGGGAAAGACATGTGAGTGTGTGTGTGTGGGGTGCTGGCCAAGAGTAGCCAGAAAAATCTAGATCTTGGGAATGTGTGTGTGGGGAAGGGTAGATGAAAGTCTCCAGGGAGGGCCTTTGAGCTGGCAACAGCTCTTTTCTCTTTGACTTCAGGAAAGTGGTTGCTGGCCCTGGGCAGCCCCACATTGGGTTCTCATCTCTGCCTGGGGAGAGGAATATATCACAGTCCCTGCCAGGGCCACAAGAGGAGGTCTAGCAAGACCTCTCCAGAATCACACATTCTCAGTGTTTCCTCCAGCCTGTCTGCCCCCCACCGCCCGGGACAAGAAAGGCCCTTGCCTTCCTGGGCCTCAGTTTCTCTGTAGGCTAAATGGGCCTTGAGCACCCCCCTCCCCCGTTTCTTAAAGTACGTCTGTGGGAAGAACCTGGGTAGGGGGCTTTCCTTCATTTCCTTCTTTTAAGGGGGTCCTGCCTGGGCCACAGTCACCAAAGTACTTAGTGCTTTAACCATTATTTTATATAAATCAGCCCCACTGAGGGCTCCGCATCCCAGGTGGCAGTGAGTTCTCCATTGCGGTGGACAGAGAGGGGTCCAAGAGCATCCAAGAGGCCATGTAGCTAAGTCCGTGCCATCTCAACAGCTCCTCTGCTCCTTGCTGAATGTTTTGGTTGGACCTCATTGTCTCACTGATGCCCTGGAGTCCAACTTTGCCGTATGCAGCTGGCACCATGGCTAATCTAGGCCATGTCCAGGGGAAATCTCCTTGTCTAAGACTCTGCTCAGACTTCCCCAGTGTCCAGATCTCACCAGTCCATGAGCCTGGAAACCACATAGCAAACATGGGTTTTATCTTGGAGTTTTAATTTTATCAGCCAATTGGGATAAAGACACTAACTGGTGAGTCATTTAAAACTTGGTCTGTTGAAAGTAACACAGATCTGTTATGGAGCATGATACAGTTATTTGTATAACTGTTAAAAGAAAAGATATGAGACTTGAAGGAAACTCTTTTGTCTGTGGTTCCTCTTTGGGGTCAGGTGCTTCTCCTTTCCCCCTACGGCGCTCAGGCTGAAATACTCAAGATGCTGATGCTCTATCTTTAGGGGTCTGTTGCTGTCTTCCTCAGGTGTAGGGAGAAGACTGTCCAGGAGGATCTCAGAGGTGGCCTCTGGAAGAGGAACCTGGGGACAGGTCATCCAAGCTTGTGTCCCATCATTGGTCTATTTTGCTTGTCCTGGAGCACACTTCTCCCCAAAGTATCTTCACAGCTCTGGTGTCTACCAGCAACAGGGTTCTGTTTTCTGGACCCGTCTCATCCTCGCCTACTTCTCCTTCCCATTCTCACTTCCCTTCACACTGTGCTGTGAGAGCAGGATGGCTGGTAGTGGACATCTATTGTTTCTGCCTTCCACTGTCCTTTACACTCCTCTGGTGCCACATCCTCACTTCTGTCTGGGAAACTGCCTCCTACCTCATGGGGGTCTGATAAACCCTCTTCCAGGAGTTTGACAAGTGACCAAGACTTAAGTCAACCAGAGCATTCCTGGCCACAGTGCCTGGCACGTAGCCCAAATCAGCCAACTCAAAGTCAAGAAGCTCACCCCTGGGACTTTGGATTAAGCAATTAGGCAAGTAGATTTGTTTTTTCTCACTGGGCTAGAAACCTTAAAGGACGTAGGGGCTATAGCTTCTGCTGCCATCTTGTTGACAAGTAAAACATGATGATGAAGGGCACTCTGCTGAAGGTAGAATAGCGAGATAGAGAAAACCCAGGTCCTCTTAACAAGGTCTGAGCCCCTGAACATAGCCATGCCTGAAACCAGCTTTGCTTCCAGCAACTTGAGCCAATGCCTTACCTTAGGGTTTGAGTCAGTTGAGTTTTCTGTCCCTGTGACTATAAGGGTCTGGCCTTATGGGCTGAAAAAGGACAATGGGTGACCTCACTTTCTGGGCCCTCTTAAGCTAGGGCTATAGCTAGATGGTTTGCCAAGAGATATTTCTTTCCTAATCACTGTGGGCACCTTGAGTTTTGGCAACTTCTGCTTGCCATTCTCTGTTGGATCAGCTTCTCTAGCCAGCTCTGCTCCCCTAGCAACCACGGAGCCTCCCTGAGAAGCAGTTCACAGAGAAGGGAAGAGTGGGTACAGGAGCCTGGTGTCTCTGGATAAAGTTGGGGTGGGGGTGGTCTGGATGATAAGATCTGTCTTTGCCACAAGTTAGTTGAGTGCTGGGCCCCATCTGGAGAGGAGTAGAGGAAATGGAGACCCAAAGAGGGACGCAAGGTCACTCAGCAGAAGAACATTCCCAGATGGGACCTAAGTCTTTGACCACTGGTCTGGACTGCATCAACCCTATTCCACAGCTTTGCCTTAGGCCATCTGGTTATCCATTGGCCTTTAAGGGCCAGGGCCAGGGCAGGTCCCTCCCGCCCTTATCACTAAGGAATTCAGGCAGACTTTGGACTTCCTCTCCCACTTATTTCCCTATTTTAAACATCCTCATTATCCCTCTGGATTCCAGGCATACGGAGAAAGTTGGAAAATTCCCTGGCTGAATATAGCCAAGTCCACTGATCCCAGGAAAGAGTTCCAGGGTGAGATGTAGCTAGAGTGTGGGCTTCATACAGAGCGGGTATCCTGTACCCATTCTGCAGAGGTAGGTCTTAAAGGATATGTAAGAGTTAGTTAATTAGAGATGGAGTAAGAACACTCCAGAAGCAGGAGCAGCTTGCACAAGCACAGAGGCATGAAAATGCCTTAATGTCTAAGGATGCAAGAAGCTTGGTAGAGCTGCAGCCAGCAGCTCTGCAGCATCAGGAGATGAATTGGGAGATGTAGGCAGAGGTGGGATCGGAAGGGCTGGGATGCCAGTTTTGAAGTGTGAGCTTTGACTCCCAGACCCTGGGGACCATCAAAGATTTGAAGCAGGAGCCCAAGGGCAGGGGACCCAGATTTTACAAATATCCTTCAGGTTGCAAGTGGTAGGGCTGAAAGTTCCTGCACCAGTCCAGCTAGGGACTGAGGAGGCCTGGGTTCAAGCAGGCAGGGCAGTGGGTATAGAGAGGAGAAGACCCAACTGAGCAGGTAGGCTGAGCAGGACTTGGTTAATCCTCATACCCAACCAGATTTGGGACTCTCCTGCCAACTCCTTTTCAGTCACCTCCCTCATCCATCTAATACCATGGCATGTGACAGAAATAGACCAGGACTGAGGAGATCCTGATGTAGACTTCTGGACTTCCACATGGGCTTCAGGAACTCCTGTCATGCAAAGGCACTAGAAGCCCACTCCCGTCCCTGCTTCTCTTCTCCACATGGGGCTTCCTGAGATATGCGGTGAAGTATGGGGGTGGTGATGGGCATGGGAGTGAACTGGGAGTTATAACTATTAAATGTTAGGGGCTCTGAAAGACAGGGTGGGCTCTGCTCAGGTTAGTAGGCCATATCTAATCCCTCATGGGTGGCTTGAGACCATCTACTGCCTGGAGTCAAAACCCCCGGCCTCAGCTCAGGGGAGTGTGAGTCCCTCTGTGGAGCAGCTGGTCTCTGAGTAGAGTACAAAAATGCTATAGGCTGGATAAAGTGAGACAGGAGGAAGAATCTGTCTGCAACTTTTTATGTACTCTGATTTTGATTTGTGCCTCTGAGTTTTGTCAAAGGAGGCAGGGAGATGGGGAGTACAGGGATTGGGGGTCAGTTGTGGTCCCGTTTACCTTTTTTCTTATTGTTCTAGCCTTTTACAGAAGCCATCTCATATCCCATGATTTATTTACTCCCATCCCAGAAATCATGGAGTAGCAAAGAGACACAGGGGGAAACTGAGGACTCAGAGAGAAATCAGTATGATCAAAGGCACATGGAACCACAGCCCAGCTTCCCAGGCTGCCCCCTATGTGAGAACTGGAAAGGACATGGAGACCCTCTAGTCAGAGGCAAGGGGTGAGAAGGGAAGGACAGGAAACGTGGGGGTAAGGAACATAGGAGGGTATGGTAGGTCATGGGATCCTGAAGTCCCAGAAGAGGGAAGAAACATGTTCCCAGCTTTGCAGACTGCACTAACAGAAGTTGAAATAAAACCTCATCTCATATGTGAGAGGCGCGCAGAAGCCTGCTGAGGTGATGGGAATGTGTAATAGATTGGCCTGGGTGATGGCTACAG